ATGTACAAAATATACATAATTAGAACTAGGCCTTCTCTTCATGATAGAGTAGCCCAAATGAAGAGTACCTTGGGCTTGAGAAGCCCATTAGTCTTCAAGAGGTCCAACTCTTCTTGTATTCTTTTACCCATAGCTCTGGTAATTGGGCCCTTGGCCCATGGTCTATCACATACACACATTTACTTGACTTGTGTGCAAAATTGTTTTATGAGACAAGTATAAAGAGGTTTAGTAATTTCTACTTGAAAAGACTTGGTTATTAAGTGACTCATTGTAGCTCACCTCCATTGATAGTACAACTTGTATACTTATACCTCCAAGTACTTAGTCTTGCACCAAAAAGAAAATCTTTTGTGAAAATCTTTATCACTTGATTTTTGCAATTCCTTTGAAAAGTTGGGAAAACTTTTCCTGCAAAAATGAGTGATCATTCTCATGATAGTAGTGTGCGTGGTCATCATTTCCCAAGAAGTCATAAAAGTACTAAAGATGAACTCTATGAACTTAGGGATTATATTAGAAAAAAAGAATTAGAAAATAAAAAGAATAACGGAACAATAAGAGAGTTGTTAAACAAGCTAGTGGTGGGTGGTTGTGAATCTTTGTAAAATCTTGAGAAGGGTTTCTCAAGTGGTAAGGTTTCTTGTAGTGGGTTTCTACAAGGGGTGCTTTCTTGGGGTCAAGAAAGTGGTTATCTTTTGTGTTGAAGTATATGCATGTGTGTGTGTCCTTGGAACACCATTCATCAAATCCATTTTCCCTATTAAGATATCTGATGAAGGTATATCTACCCAATATCTAGGAAAAACAATCATGTTCAAATTCCTGAATAAACCTCTCTTTCGTAACATCAATCAGATTGATAGAAAGCTTAATCAAATCAATTTCCTTAAGGAAGAAGTCTCTTTCAAACATATCGAAAGTCAGCTTTCTCAATCCCATATTAAACAAAAGATTATGAGTCTTCATGATCGATTTCAATGTCATGTTTGCTCCGATCATATATATACATATATATATACATGCACACAAACACACACACACACACATATATATATATATATATATATATATATATGGATTTACGATGATATATGTAGATGTGATAAGTTGTATTATGCTAGTCAGCATTTATATGCTATGCGTGAAAATATGTTATAGTTGCATGATTGGAGTGTAAATAGGCATTGGTATGCTAGTTTTGGATGAGGTATATAGCATTGGTATGCTAATTATGATTGGTGTGATTTGATCTGTATATATATTAACCTGGGGTAATGTATATAAATGATGTATGTCGAGGTGTTGATGTTAAAAATGTTTTAGGCATTAAAGCATGTTGATTGACTGAGGGTATTGTTTGAAAGTTGACGATCTCATAGGGAATATTGTTTTCGCCCTCTAAGAGGCCAATTGTTCAAAACCCTCATTAAATAAGTATGAAGCTCAAAGTGGATTTTGTTGAGTCTCCTCTAGATCCTTAGTCAATGTGGAGTAAAATATGTAGTTGAGGGCTACTGCTCTTAATTAATTACTAGAAAGGTCGTGTGGTTCCTTACGGATAGTTAGTGGACTAACTCTATAAGTGACTTGGTAATGCATGTCAAGGTCTTGGTATGTTTATACTCAATTATACTAGTCTTGATAATGGAACTAGATTTTCCTAGTGTAAGTGATGACATATGAGAAATCAGAGGAAGGATTGGTATATCATTTTAGTTGTCAATTCATTATGTTCATTAGGCGTGAAAACTATCAGGTTGGTTCAGTAGGGTTAAGCCACTTAAACTACTCAGATTGTGGACTAACTCCATAAGTGACTTGCTAATATATACCAAGATCATGGTATGCCTATACATAGTTATATTAGTCCTAACAATGAAACCGAACTTTCCTAGTGTATGTAGTGACATATGAGAAATCAAAGGAGGGATTTGTATCCCATTTTAGTTATTGATTTAGTGAGTGCATTAGGCGTGAAAGCTGTCAGAATTGGGTTGGTAGGGTCAAATCACTTAAATTGCTCAAGCGTGTTACGAGATCTCTTTAGGTGAATGTATGATGACACTTATTGAGATGTATGTATATTATGTGTTGTTGAGGGATTTGTTCATATGCATTGGTTGAATATTTTATTGTATGATATTTACTTGGTGTGAGTTTGATTGCTTGGTGTGTAACTTAATTTCAAACTAGTTGTTTTAAGGATTGTTGTATGATGTGAACCTTGTGTTATTAGTTTGAAGGTTTACATATGGTGAGTAGTATAGATGTTTTTATTCCTATACTTTTTTTTCTCTTTTGAATCTAGCTAACCCTTACTTGTTTCTATGTGATTCGTATTGTGATAATCATACTTGGTGTGATAATAGAACAGGGATAGATTGCAGAGGGTTGTAGTAGAGGGCTTCAAGTGGATAATGGTGCTTGGATGTTTTTGTATTATTCTCTTGTAGTGGTTGTATAATTTGTATTTAATTTTTATTGAATAATTGTACTTATACTATTTATATTTGTATAGTTGTGTTTACATGTATATTAGGGTGATCAGAGGTTGAGTACGATTGTTTTCGAGTCAATATAACGCAAACCGATATAATCCACAAATTGTATTATTTAGACCTGAACTTGACCAGATGACTTATCAGTTTAGGTAGGTTTCGGTTTGAGTGGGTATCGATTTTAATGGACGATTTTCTACGAATAAAGGTGTATTGGACTTTGAATCATTTAATTGGTCCAAATAAAGTTTTTTATCTAATTTATTATCTTTTTCTTTTCAATTCTTGCATCTTTTTTAATACATTCAGCCATTCAAATATTATTTAGTTCGTTTAGAGTCAAAATGAATAAATTATTCAAGTTTCAAATAATTTAAATATTATAATAAATTTTTTTAAGTATATGATATAAAAAAGGAAGTTATAAACTACACCCTCAACTATAGTTTTTTCTAGATCAACAATAAAGATCAAAGATGAGTCGAAATAATTTTAAATTTTGGGTCTTAATGATAATTATTTTGACCTTTATTTTGTTTGATTGGATTCAAATATCGATAGATTCAAAAACTCGAACCGAACCTGATTGAAATTAATCATTTTAAATCTCATTTTTAACTCACTACACATTTGAACCTACTCATTTATCTATTTTTTTTCCTTTTGGTTTTTTCAATTTGGTCAAGTTTCGGGCTAGTACTCACCGCTACATGTATATGCATGTTACACATATAGTAGATATTCATATATTTGTGAATGTATGATTTTAAATATTAAAATTTTTACTGTCACAAAGTATAATAACTATATCGAATCATTAAAATATGTCAAATAAATTTATACTTATTGACATTTTTTTACATATCTATATGTAACATTTCCTGTTGTTAAATTATAACATAAATACAAACTTAACTTCTTATATTCTAATTTCTACATTCACCTTTTATCTTTCTTTATCCATGATATCATGATTATTATCCGTATATTTAACATTCTTTTTTGTACATTTCATTTCTGTTATCATTTATTTATATCCTCCCATAACATTACTCAATTAATTAACGATACTGCCCAAAATATAAAATAGGTCAATAAGGAAATAAAAATCAGTGTATGATAATTAAAGATAGAAAAAGCACATTACAGGAGGCTCAGAGAAAAGAAAAGTATTGGATCATGATCCTAAGAAATAAGAAACTACTTATATAAAATATCAATGAAAACATAAATAAAACATAACCAATGGTACATGATTGAACTACACATCCTGCACTTATATTTCTAATTATAGGGATCCGGATCCCTTGTAATATAATTAAAATTATAATAATTAACTAATTAAAAATAAATAAAAACCACGTAGTTCATGTCAGATTGAAAAATAAATTTAAAAAATTAAAAGTAATTTAAGAAAATAAATAATTAGTATTTGAATAAAAAATAGTTCTAACAAAACAACAAGCTTTAAAAATAATTATTTTACGAAAGTGTAAATTTTATAAACTGTTCTTACTGGAAATCTGTCAAACTAGTGAGTTTATATTTTAGAGGGATGAAAATCAAATAAAAATATTTTACTCATTTTACAAGTATGAAACAATCTTTATAAATCTTACAAGGATGAAAAATAAAGAAAAAAATTTACAAATACCAAAATCAAAATCACCCATCTTATAGGGACTAAAATATATTTAAACCTTCTAAAATTAATATTTTCGATCTTAACAATTATTTTAAATAAATAATATTTATTTTTAAATATTTATAAACTATTTAGAGATGTTAGTATATTGTCTTTAAAATTATAGTAAGCAAGTTCAAGTGTGAATATTTTCATATTTGTGTGTTTCATGAGTTTTCTATTAAATAATTAGTGCATATATTAGTTTATTTAACATAAATAGTAGTTTTATATTTTAGAAGAAAA